TTTTTTTTTTTTTTTTTTTTTTTCCAAAGGGGACGGCCTTGAGATATCATCATTGAACTGACCGCCCCCTGGTAATTGAGAATGACTATAATCTGGTCATCTGATTGTATCTGGATTCGAACTTGGATCTGTATTTCAACAGTTCATGGGTGTACTACCAACTGAGCTAGGCCCGTTGGTAAGACAGAGCATTTTGCCAGTAGCTGCTGCTCCCTTTTTTTCTTTTTTTTTTCTTTTTTTTTTTTACAAATAGATCGTCCAGTCTCATTTCCGAAGGCCCCCTACGGATTAGCAAGGACCCCTCATGGAGCAGAGATGGACATTAGACTTGCTGCTCCCGTTTCATCGCCCCCACGGATCACAACCAGCCGAGAATCTTCTCCCTATTCAAAAAAAAAAAAAAAAAAAAAAAAAAAAAAGGGGGGGGGGAAGGGCTACCAAGCTCCAAACATGATTGCGCTCAGATTCATCCACTGCTGCCCACAAGTAAGGCCAGATACACATTCTGGAAAGTGCTAGAGTTAGAGTGAGGCTGGGTACTCTTACCAGCACCCCTAGCACCCGCTCGGGCTGTTCTGAAAAAAAGAAAAAAAGAAAAAAAGAGTGAGGCCGGGTAGGCCTGGGTAGTATGATCAGACTGGCCATGGTCTGTTTCGGTCAGGCTTACAGTGTCACTTGGAATGTGGGTGCTTGGCTGACGAGGGGCTACAAATTGTAAATTAACTTCATAGGATTTTAAGTCATCATTTTTATTATTATTATTATTATTTTTTTTTAATTTTAAACAAAAGGTAGCTTCATTCCATAAGAGAGACAGGGGCCTGGGAACACACCCCGACAATCCAACCCGGTACAAAACATGCTTGGGCCTTTACCCAGCTCTGGGCTCCTGCAAACCGGGTTTAGTGTCAGAATTTGACGTTCTTCCTAGTAGAATGTATCTGGCTTAGAGCGTGGACCCGATACCTATAAACAGTAATGAGTAACCGAACATGCCCTTAGGTCCAGTCATCAGTAATTACTAATTACGGGGTAACTTCGGTAGAGTCACAAGAACTAGTTATATATATTGTGACGATATATATATATATATATATATATATATTTTTTTTAACGAGGTATAATTCCACTATGGGGCAAGATACAGTTTCCAATTGCACTTCGGGCACCCTACCTGGCCAGAAAGGTGGGTTGTATACATTGCCCCCACTGCAATTCGAAACTGTATCTTGGCCCATAGTGCAATTAGAACTCAGTTTTGTGACTCCCCTGTAGTTTCCCCTTATTAGTAATATATGTGTATATCATATATTATGACTATATATAGATATAGGATATATAAAAGAGAAAACTAGGGCGCAGTCAGGGTTACAGTTTGTAATTGCATTTGGAACTTCGTTTTAGCAGTTAAGTCAGGGCCCGAGTTTCAATTGCATTTCAAACTGCGTTCTAGCAGTTCAGTCAGGCACATGGCCGTTTCTTTCTTTCTTCGTTTTGAAACTACGGCGCAGTCAGGGTTACAATTTGTAATTGCATTTGAAACTGCGTTTTAGCAGTTTAGTCAGGGCCCGAGTTTCAATTGTATTCGAAACTGCGTTTTAGCAGTTTGAAACTCGGGCTGGCTTTTT